AGCCTTATGTCAGGTCGGGGCGCAGGGGGCTCGCCCGCCTCACCGCAGGGATGGAGCTGGGCTTCAAACCCTGCTCCTGGGCAAGCATGATGCCAATCTGGTCTATCCGAAACGGAGCGTTTAGCAGACCCCAGGGATGGGGATGTTTCAAGCAGACCCCAGGGATGGGGATGTTTCAAGCAGACCCCAGGGATAGGGATGTTTCAGCAGCGGCGTGGGCAGCCCTCCCTGGCACCCATCCCGCCACCCACCTACCATGACAGTGATGCCGTCCTTCTCCAGGGGGGTCTTGTCATAGGTCACTTCGCACACTCGCACAACTGTGGTGGCACCGTACTTCTTCAGGTCCTGGGGAGGGAAGGAGAAGGTGTCTGAAAAAACTCTGCCAGTCGCACTCCAGCTAACCCCAACACATCCAAGCCCTGCTATGACCACACAGACCCCCTACAGACCCTAAAGCAGTGCTGTGCCCCACCTCTGGACCCTGGTCAAACTCCTCTGTGGTCCATCCAACCTGGGAAGCACAAGAAAATCCCAGGGCACAAAAGCTGTGTGGCCACCATAGGATTTTACCTAGCACCTTCTTTGAAGTCATGAGTGCCAACGGTGCTGTTTATTTTTAAACTCTGACAGCAGCACCAGCAGGGACTTTACACCCCAAAGAAACATCCCCGACATGGGTGCAAATTCCCTGAAGGAGAAATTATCTGTGCCTGACGAGGTTCAAAATCCCACTGCAGAACCGTGGCTGGGGGGGGGGGGGGGGTCGCAGCGCACCCCACCAACCGTGCTCAGCATCTTGCAGTTTGCTCAGGGGCTCCTTCTTGACCTCGTTACTGTGTGCTGTCACGACTCCAGCGCGCTGCAGGCTTGGGCATGGGACTTGGGCTGTTTCCAGCACGGCTTATCGCCTGTTGCACGGATTGCCCCTGGATTACGTGTCGGCGTGCCGGCCCTGATGGGCACCACGTCAGATCGTCCCCTTCAAGGATCCATCTCCTCCCTTCCCCATGTGTGCTTGCCAGACCACAGCAAACCCCTGCACACGTGGCAGCTCAGCCAAAAATCTAAGAAGCTGGAGGAAAGGGGAATTTTCCCCCTTCCCACTGGTGCCGTTCCCATTGCCTTGTGTGCAGCATGGGGTGGCCATCCCCAAATCCCAACGGCCTTCCTGAGACTCTCCGAGCTGGTGGTACTCCCGCTTGTTTTTTGGGGTATGCACTGGGAGGGTTTCCTTGAGCTCAGAGGATGCCTCTGGTGCCAGCACATCAGACCTCAACGTGGTTTAAGGGAAAAACCCTTCGCCAGGCTCATGCGCAGCCCCAGGTCCCTCCACGAACGCAGCAACATCCAAAAACGCCTCCTTGTAAGCAGAAGCTGCTTGTGCGAGCTCGACCGTACCTGCAGAACATTGCCTTTCCCCCAGGCACTGACAAAAAGAGTAAGTCAAAGCCTTTCACTCTGGACTGCAGACACGCACCTATTAATCCTCCCTTAACTCCTGGCTGCTGCCAGTGCTGGAGGCAGCACTCCCAGGCAGGGCTTTGGCGCTGGTTCATGCAATACCAAGCACTCCAGCTCCTCGTACACCACCCAACACATTCCAGGCATTGGAAAGACGCTGGAATATTTGGGATGAAAAGTCCTTATCGAGGTGCTGGGAGATGCAGGGGAGGTTCTGTGCATCCATGTCCATCACTGCAAAGCCCCTTGATGTGATGTGCTGGTGCAGCTGGCAGGGGATACAACAGGAACAGGGAAACTCTGCTCCATTTCTGCTGTACCCAAACACTGCGCTTGGGGTTCCCCAAAATGTACTGCCAAAAAAAAGCCAGCGGTGATCAGACTCGCTGTGACAGGAAGCCACCAGGGTCACAGTAGAATCACAGAACCATAGGATGGTTTAGGTTGGGAGGGACCTTTAGAAGTCACCTAGTCCAACCACCTACAACAAGCACGGACATCTTCAACTAGGTCAGGTTGCTCAGAGCCCCGTCCAACCTGGCCTTAAACGTTTCCAGGGATGGGGCATCTACCACCTCTCTGGGCAACCTGTGCCAGTGCCTAACCACCCTCATGGTAAAAAATTTCTTCCTTATATCCAGTCTAAATCTACCTCTTTTAGTTTAAAACCATTACCCCTGCAGGGAACCAAAGTGGACATGCAGATAACAAAGTGGATACCACTTTGTGGGTACCAAAGTGGATGTGCTGCTGCCTTGTCCTACGGAGGACGGATCCCTGCTGCATCTCTACATCAGCTTTTAGCCTCAAAATGCGCAGCTGGGCCCTGGTCCACCCCTTCCAGCCTCCCCTCCTTACCTCCAGGAAGGTGCTGAGCGTGGCGTTGGTGGGGTTGTGGGTGATCAGGAACCTCATGTTTTTGTAGCAGACCTCCACTGGCGCAGGGCGGTTCATCCGGGCCATGGTGGGACAGAAGGAGGGTGAGGTGGTGCCGATGATGGTGGGCAAAAAAAACCAAGAAAAGCGTGGCGTGGAGGGGCAAAAAACCCCCAACAACCCCTCTGCGCTTAAAAAATAAAAACAGGATCGAGAACTCAATATACAGACGTTGTGCAAATAATCCCAGCTCCTGGGAGCGCGCCGGCTTCCTCGACA